TTCCTCACTCCTTCTCCTTTAAAAGACCCCAAAACTATGCCCAGGGCCACCGTTAAACCATCAATAGATGAATCCATTTACTTGGGCATGGTCCTCACAATCTAACCTCTTCAAGGTCCCACCTTTCAATTACTATATTAGGATTTCCCACTCCCTTAACCCTGTCAGAGTGGGAATTAAGTTTTGCGGGGACATTCAATCCATAGCACCTTGTTAATTACAAAAGAAAGAGGAAGATGTAATTCTATCAGATTGACAAAGATAAATATTGATAATATTTTGTGTTTGTAAGGTTATGAGAAAATAGGCACTTTTATACATATATAATTGGTAGCAGTGTAAACTAGGTCAAGCTTTCTCGAGTACCACTTAGCAGTGTGCATCAAAATAGTAAAGGTAAAATATTTTTAATCATAAAATAGAGCTATTATGATAAAGCATTTTATTTTGTTAACTATAGACTTTCAGATATATTGTATATTATCCAGGGGAATTAAAAAACAAAAGATAGAGTCTTTATTTGCTTTTCCAGGGTAGTTAACAATACTGAGTATCTTTGACTGTTTTCCTTGTTTGGTGATAAATTTTAATGTATTGGGGGTTGGGGATGTCAGATACTAATAAAATATGTATACATGTTATTCCATTGGCTCTTGCTCAAGGAATTTATCCTCTTGATGAATGGAAAAGTCTTTGATTAGAGAATGACAGAAAGCAATTTGCAATAAAATGTGAATAATATTTAATAAATATAAAACGCTCCAATATGTTGTATATAGGATGAATCTTATGAAAGATTAATAAAGGAGAATATTAGTATTTGGCCAAGTTATTGAGATAGGTTATTGGTGTAGATTTGAATTGGATTTTGAAGATAGGGTTGTATGGGCAGGGGTAATGAACATATTTGTGGAATTACATAGTCAAAACGAGAGGTATAAAAGTGAATGTGGTGAAGAGTGAAGAGATAAAAATTGTTATTTAATCCATTAATTCCTTTAAACTTTTTGGAGTGTTGCTTTGCATCCCATCCCTTTTCCCCTGGGTGATGGAGCTGCCAAAGATTACTTAAAGCCCATCTTTTCTGAGCAGTGAGAAGCCCCGAAAAGGGGTTAATCTCCCGGAACCCTCGAGAGAGGCATTCCTTCCATTTGGGAAATTAACCACAAATTGGGGTTCTCTTCCCACATTTATTCTCCAGACCAGGAAGTTACAGGAAGAGAACATAGGTGGGGTCTTTTCTAAGTACAGTTTAACGAGTTTAACAATAGACATTCCATAATGCAATTTTCAAGAAGTTAAGTTGATCCCCAACAAAAGCTTGATCTTAGCAAACATTGCTTCTCCTTACACAGCTTCCCAGTATCTTTACATGTCAATCAGTAACTTATCTGTCTTTGAGCCAGCAACCTTGCTGTGTTACAATTCTTTATCTTGCAACAGAGACTATA